CTTTACATTTATAACATATAACTCATATAAACTACACTAATTCGCAATTGGATATTTATACAATGTTTTATGTAATTTTTTTGAATAGTACTCCAAAAAATATATATTCTGAATTGGAACGAGAAATAACAAATTCATTAAAAAAGTTATAACGACAAAAAATTGGTAAAAAATATCGTTATTTTAGAAAAATTATGTATTTAACTATATAATAAAGTATAAGTTTATAGTATATTAAGTTAAAAACAGAATTCATGTATATTATTAATTAGTATATACTATATATTAGGTATATACAGATATGAGGTACCACTTAATATTTCTTCTGGATGACGTTGGATTGAAATGGAATTTTCGGGAGATAGTTATAGGAAGTACCTAAATACACATTTTCAGGTAAAATTCAAATTTGTAACTCTCTCGGTTTTTAAATGCCCCCATAAAAATAGTCCAATGGTGTCAAATCTGGAGATCTTGCCAGCCATGGCATGGAATCACCCCATAAGTGCCGATCCATCGTTTTGGAGACATTTCATTTAAATATTGTCGAACAATAATGGCATTGTGTGCTGGTGCACCATCTTGTTGAAAATAAAGATTTTCCCGCATGGCTAGTAACACATCTTCAAACATTAATGGTAATTTATTTACAATAAAATCTGAGTACCTTTTAAAAGTGAGTATTCTGTCATAAAAATAAGGACCTAACAGCTTTCCATCAATTAATCCACACCAAACATTGATCCCCCAAATAGTTTGAAAGTTAGTTTCTCTATACCAGTGTGGATTTGTTTTATCTCAAAATCTATGGTTTTGTTTATTCATTACACCATTATTTGTAAATTTTGACTCATTATCTCCCGAAAATTCCATTTCAATCCAACGTCATCCAGAAGAAGTATTAAGTGGTACCTCATATCGTGAACACACTGTATACTTAAAATTACGTAAAAGCGATATTTTCAAAAACGTTAATAGTTTATGGAATAATGATAGTATCTCGCGTCGAACGGATCACCCTGTATATCGTATAATATAACATGCGGCTAGACGAAATTAATAGCAAGCGAAAAGCCATAAAAGATCTCTCCCCCTGCAGTGGCAGTCATCGTTTGCGGAAATTTGTCTACGCGCAGTGGGCACATTTTATGGGTGACCCTCGACGACGAACTATATAGGTACTAGGTAGTCTACCTGTGCCTTATTATTTTTTTTTGTTTGTCGGTTTTATTCCTATAGGTAATAATGGCGTATAATATTATATTTATTTATTATTGAAGGGTTAAATCAAGAAGATTTTACATTTTAACACCGGAACTATATACATTGTACATTCAATTATTCAAATGATTCTTACAAAATTATATACGTCCGGTCAATTATTGTTAGAACGTGCAATATAATATGTCATACAATAAGTTTGTGTGTGTGGCTTGGTGTGGCGTGGCGGTTGGCCTCAGTCACTTTTGTGTTCTGAGATCAAGCATAATATGCCAGCGTCACTAGCTCCCGGATGGGTGACCATCACTCGGGTTTTTAGTGACAAATCCTGTCCACATATTCAAGTGTTCCAATCTGTATACTCCCACCTCACTAATAACTGACTAAAAATAACCTTTAGGTCAATAACCCCAGTTTCAAAACATTTAATTAAACAAAAAAAATTATTTAAAAAAACTATACACACAATAATAATATACAATAACGATAAATAATAAAGTTAGATTTACCTCTTTTTAGGGATTTCATAATCTTGGACGAATTTAAATTATTTTTTCATCCTTCATTTTTAACGCGGAAAATAAGACGTATGTATATAATAATTATAATGTCTTAGGAACTCGGTTGGCATAATAATATGCTTTTAAAGTAGGTAACTATCGATATATACCTATATAAATTATAAGTATAATAGAGAACGAGGAAGTTCCGCTGCTTCTTCAGTGAAGTTCTGCACATTAAAATAATATATCTACAAATAGTATAATACTATACTATGTATTATTATACGATTGCGTTACTCGTCTCTCATAAGACTATGGAATCCTGTCAGTAATCAGCAGTACACACATATAATATAGGACATTGGTACACGTAATATAATATCATAAACCGAATACTGTTGTCGCGGTATACCACCGTACGATGGTACGGTACCTACGTCCCGTAAGCCTTGCGGTTCGCCATCGGAATTATTATCAGTCTGGTTGATTGAATATCGTCTCTGTGTTTATGTATTGTAGGCACATATTATTATTATACGTGTATACATCGAATGGGCCGGTATTGGAGGTAGCCATTCGGTCGACTAATTTTCTCCGTACACGTAACTACGGTTCGACGACAATAGAAATGGAAATAAAAAAATATATTATTATATTCCACGACATCAGCTGTACATGATGATAGAGGTACGTACAATAATATATTCTAATAAAATACGTCGTACATCTACGCGCGAGTGGATTTTATATTATCATATACCGTAAATGACTTGATGTGGACTTCAAAGTTCAATATTTCTGATCGAAGTCGATGGTATCCGCGATTTTAGCAATATTGTAAATTGGGCCCACAGTGAGCTGGTAGTAAAAATAGTATAGTAAACAATTGCGCTCGGTATTTTTCGGGTTCTAAATTGGGTAGGTATAGTAAATTGCGTCCATATAACATCTAAGTGACCTAGAATTCACCCGAAAAAATTGTTCAGCAATATAATAAAAATTATGTGACGAGGGCTGAGTATGTAAAAATGATGTCGAATTACTTGTGCTGATATAAGAAAATAACTTATACCTACTACGATCGGAAATGACGGGATTTTTAGCCATTTTGGTACCCACCTGCTTATCAAGATTTTCAATTTAAAATAAACATATTTTAAGAACAACGAACAATCAACAAATAACTGCAATACAATTTAGTCTATAAAGAATCATATTTTGTTACCTATTATTGGTTGTTGCGAGATTATGAAGTTAACACATAATATTATATTACATAGGTAATATAAATATATATGGAATAAAAATGTTAATAACTCTGAAATTAATTAAAAAATGTATGCGTGTAATAGAAAACCTGAGTTATAAATATAATATATTCTTGCAACTGTTGTGAAATTAAAATTCCGAAATATATTATTTATATTTTATACATACCCATTTGAATAGTTGGTTAAAATGTGTATACCTACAATAAAAATTTTACGTTTGATCAATGTTTGAATTTTATCTATAATTTTCTTAGCCCCGTATTATCCTGCTTGTTTACTCTCTTATTCAAATACGCTTATTGTGCTCTTAGTATAGATTGTGTGATTCTTATATATAAAAAAAAATCTATAATTTCCACCGTCACGATGGTTATTTCATTATCTTTCGGCACTTTAAAAACATTAATTTTTGGAATTATTTGATATTTTTTTATTCACATATTCATATTATTATAATGGTATACCTACTTTAATATTAGTTAAGTACTTAAATATACTATTAGTTAAATTCCAAGTCACGAGGGTCATGACGGTTATATTGGCCTGCACTTTCGCATATTGTGCTAAATTATCTGAAATGTATATAACATCCATTTAAGTTTGAAATTTTCATTTCGCGCTCGACGTCATAATAATGATATTATATCGGCAGCTTATATTACTGCTGCACCATTCCGTCGGTTTTTAATAAAAGTTTGAAATTTGTTTTTAACTCGCCCGTACGCATACAAAACGCGAAAACCGTATATATTTGTTTTTAGACTATTCCGTTGTTATTCGGGATATTATTATTAAAGTACGCGTTGAACATTTTCAAAACAATAATGTACACGAATTCATGTATAATAATATTGTATATACCATAGTATATACGTATATAATGGGTATGTATATAACACTATATAATGTATAAGCGTACTATGTATAATGTTGCGTATTATATATAGGTCGGTTATATATATTTTTCTCTTCAAAGCACGTTCCGGGCATATGCTCAGTTTTTTACCCCCGCGCGGTTTTTATATTATTATACAAACTCGTTTTCATCAAATTCCGTACGACATGAAATTATTAAATTGTCAATATGTTAGGTACCTATTAATTAGTAAAATAATATTGTACCTAAATGTCATTTCCGAGCCGGCTACTCATTATACTCTACTCATACTATAATATGGAAGATAATGATAAATACAAATAATACATTGAGAATAGTTTATCTTTCTCTATACCAATCTTTATTTCAATATGGCATGGTAATTTGGGGAGGTGCATCCATAAATGTTCTTAAGCCATTAAGGGTTCAGCAAAATAGTTTAATTCGTATATGTCTGAAAAAGGACAATCTTATTGGGTCTACCTCGTTAAACTATATAGAGTTTAATGTGTTTCCGCTTGAATTACTTTACAAAAAATCCGCAATCATGTTTGTACATAAAAAATCAGACTTTTTCTTTATTAAACAGAATGACAAGCCTTTGGGGGAAGATAGACTATGTAATATTAAAGTCTTATTTACTAATACGAGTTTTGGTCAAAAATTTATTAATTATATGGGTCCTGTCATTTTTAACGCCTTGCCAATTGATGTAAAAAAAAATATTTTTAATGATCAAATTAACATAAAAAAATGTATAAACAATATTTTATCTAGTGAACTAAGGCAATGTCTATTATAAGAAAATTGTATATTTTAGTATCTCTTAATTATTTTAATTATTTTACAATGTTGGTTATTATTTGTTAAATTAAGTAATTAATTAAATCATATATATATGTACTGTTACTCCCTACACCACCACAAGCCTAGCTTAAAGGTGTAGGTAATTTTTATTATTCAGTACGTGTTCCGCACCCGTCAGAGCAACACGTGTGTTACCTTATCGCGAGTGCGCTTTTATAGCTTCGATAGCCAACACAGCCACGTCGTAATACACCGATACCAGGTAATATGACTATTAATTAATTATTAGTTATACAATACCCAGGCATTAGTATTCTCGATATGAAAAAAAACTCCTCGGGCACCATGCCCATCACACCAAACCCCAGTAGATCAAACACTCAAAAAAATATGCACACACATTCTATCAACTCCAAAATCCCCACATCACCATCAACTAAAGGAAATAAATCTATCTCAAATTCTCCATCGACATCACGGAACGTAATCGCAATGAATACCTCCACCCGCCATCCACCTACGACGGCCAGTACGATAACGGCCGAACTACCTAATGACACCGCGACAAACCCAGCCGTATACTCCGATAACGTCGTATCTAATGTTCATAAAAACAATCATACACAACCGACATCCAATAATGGTATTAATAACACCGATAGCTCATTAAATTTCGCTAGCATTGTCGCTAAAGAGATAACACCCAATAGAGAACAAGCAATCGTGTTCAACTCAATTGACGGAATCCCACAAAAGGATTACGTAATAGCCATCGGCCAAATCGTCCAGCCCAAAAACATATTATTCGTATCCAGAATCTCAAACAATAGATTTTGCATATTTCTTAACAGCAAAGAAATACTTGAATCGCTCATCGTCAAAAACCCAACAATCACTATAAACGGACATGAAATACAATTACGCAGGCTGTTAAACCCAGCAAAACGTATTGTTATATCTAACGTCTGCCCCTCCATACCTAACACAACTATACTGCATGCCCTTCAAAACTTAGATATATCACCCTCATCTCAAATTAACCATCTCAAAGCCGGTATTAACCTCGTGGGATATGAACACATCCTAAGTTTTCGTAGACAGATATATATTAAACATGAAGACATACACAAATTACCTGGATCTCTGACCTTATCACACAATCAGTCCCAATTTAGAGTTTTCTTCACGGACGACACTCTTACCTGCTACACTTGTCATAAAACTGGACATACATCCAATACATGCAAAAAAGATCTTCTAAATGATACAAACATGCAAACAGTGCATGATCATAACCCTTTATTAAAACCGGAAAACTCACCCGAAAAATGCAATGATAAAGCAGATATCATTTTACCTTTGCAACCTCCCCTAATACACAATACGTCAGAGAACACAAACCTGGATTGGTTAGAAAATCTCCCCATCACAACAGACACAGTGATAATACATTCCTCTCCATCAGCCCCTGTAAATACTATCTCAAGAAAAAGCAACGAAAAAGAACCTCTACAAATTACTGGGGACCCCAGCATGGATACAACTGACAATAACAAAAGACCCCTATCGGAAACAGCTTCGACGCCGATGTCACCCACCACGAACAACTCTCCTCACTCCCCTATCTCCAAAGGCAAGCCCAACAAAAAAAAACCAAAAATAAGCTCTCGTTCCAACTCCTTCTCACAAGCTGAAGATAACCCAATAGTCAGCTCTTTAAAACCAGTTGAAAGCCACTTCCTCGACACCAACAACGTACCAATCTCATTGCTGCAATATCAATATATAATCGAAAACTTTTCAAATAAATCCATCAACATACACACCCTTTTAAAACAAGTCAACACCGACATCAAAACGATCATCGATATAACCGAAAAAATTCAGCCAATGATAAGGGAAACCAAAATGAAGGCCAAGCTCACTAGACTAAGACACCTTCTCTTCCAAAGTCTGCCGCCGTCAGACCAAAATTAAAACTCACATCCCTCACTCAGTCATGACCAGTATTATTCAATGGAACATAAACGGATTCTTCAAAAGATCCGTTGATATAAACCGAATTCTCTTCGAACTCAACCCTCATATACTCTGTTTCCAAGAAACTAATTTAAAAAATTCTCAAAGTCCCTACCTTAAAAACTTCACAGGATACATTAAAAATCGTACAATAGCAAATAGAGCCAGTGGAGGAGTAGCGATATTCATCCATAAGAATATTGAAAGCAAAGAAGTCACGATCCAAACCCACTTAGAAACAATAGCGACGACAGTCGAACTCGATAAACAAATTTGCATTTGTAATATTTATATACCAGACAGTACTCCCTTCACGTCTTTTGATATTAAAAACATAATAGACCAACTTCCGAAACCTTTCATATTAATGGGAGACTTCAACAGCCGCAATACATCTTGGGGATGTAACATCACAGACTCCCGTGGTAAAACAATCGAACAATTAATCGAAAACGAACAATCTCTCATATTACTAAACAATGGAGATCCCACCAGATACAACAGTTTTAACGGATCATTATCTGCCGTAGACCTAACCTTATCCTCTTCTAATCTAATACCTTCAATGGAATGGCAGGTCCTAACTTCTTATAGTGGAAGTGATCACTGGCCTATAGAAATTCATATCCAGAATAAAAACACTTCATATGATCCCCCTTTCAAATGGAACCTCTCAAAACCAAACTGGAAACTTTTTTCCGAACTCGTAGAACACGATTTGATTTTAAATCCAATCGACCTAAATGTGAACATTACCCAAGAACATATTGATTCCATTGTTAATAACTTCTCTAACATAATACTCAAAGCAGCAAACATAGCAATAGGTTTTAAGTCAAGTAACTACAAACGCAAAACGACTCCCTGGTGGAATTCCGAATGCAACAACGCTATTAAAAAATATAAACAAGCACTTAACCGCTTCAAAAAAACTAAAGACCCGTCAGACCATATTCTCCTAAAAAAATCAAGAGCAGAAGCTAGATATATCACTAAAACAAGCAAAATACTATCTTGGAAAAATTTTACCTCGACCATCAATCACAAAATAGACCCAGCAGCATTATGGAACAAAATTCGAACATTAAAAGGATATAAATCCCCTCCTACTCCAGATCGACTGAGAGATAATCTGAACAAAATATATTCATCCTCGGCCAGCGTCTCGGAAGCGTTCGCCCAATTTTTTCAAAAAAACAACAGCAACCAAAATTACTCTGATGAATTTTTAGCACACAAAAATTCTTATTCATCATTACTGTTAGACTCCACATCTACCAACGATCATTGTTTTAACCTTCCTCTAAACCTAAGTGAACTTCTATCAGTCCTTCAAAACAGCAAAAGTAAAAGCCCAGGGCCCGACAATATACCTAATTCATTTATTCAAAACCTTCCCGAAAATGGACTCTCGACTCTTCTCCAGATCTTCAATTCAATATGGACACAGGGTACCTTTCCAAACCAATGGCGGAGTGCAACAGTAATCCCCATCCCAAAACCGGGAAAAAACAAATTTGAAATTCACAACTATAGACCCATATCCCTTATAAACACCATGAGCAAAGTCCTGGAAAAAATCATTAACAAGAGACTTATCTGGTTCCTTGAATCGACAAATCGAATCTCAAACCAACAATGCGGCTTCAGACGTAATTATTCTACCATGGACAACCTATCTTCACTCCACACAGACATCTGTACAGCATTCAAAAGCAACCAACATCTCATTCTGATTTCACTCGATCTGCAAAAGGCATACGACATGGTATGGAGAGACAGAGTACTATCGACACTCATAAAATGGGATATTAATGGTCACATGTTTAAGTTTCTATCAAACTTTTTAACCAATCGCTCGTTTAGAGTTAAAATCCAAAATACCCTATCCAACTCACATTATATCGAGAACGGTCTTCCACAAGGGTCAGCCCTCAGTGTCTCTCTCTTCTTGGTAGCTATAAATGACATTGGCAACAATCTTCCCTCTCCCGTCAAATACAAACTCTTTGCAGACGATTGCAACATATATTGCAGTGGAACAAGCCTAGCAACCTCTTCCCAACTCTTACAAGAGTCTCTAAACACACTTGCCTTATGGTCATCCAAGACCGGCTTTATTTTTTCCCCTTCAAAAACTCAAGGCATCATATTTAATAAAAAAAAAAATTCACCGTCTCCTTCAATTACCTTGAACATGACACAATTAAATTTTTCGGAAAACTTACGCATCCTAGGACTCACCTTCGATCACAAACTGTCATGGAAAACACACATCAAAAAACTAAAAACTAGTTGCATGGGTAGAATGAACATTATTAAAACTTTATCAAACCTTTCATGGGGTTCTGACCAGAATAGCCTCATATTAATATACAAATCATTAATTCTCTCACTCATGAATTATGGTTCGGTCATTTATGGCACTGCCAAAGCTACGACACTCTCCTCACTTGATCCGATTCACAACCAAGGAATTAGACTAGCCACTGGCTCTTTTAAAACTAGTCCAGTGGCCAGCATATTATGTAATGCCGGAGAACCTCCTCTGCAAATCATTCGTGACAGTAACACGATTAAATATATGATCAAGATTTCAAACCAGCCAAAACATATATCCTTCTCTAACTTCCACCAAAATTTTCCATATACTAAAGCGAAGACTCCCACTACAATCTTTGAAAACTTCAATCGAATAAAAAAGAATATTAATCTTAATATAGATTTAACCAAGAAGTCCCTCTTTCCTATACAAGCGCCTTGGACTTGGTCCCCGGATATTAATACGGATCTTCTCAAATATAACAAAAACACAACTGCAAACTCGCCCATAGTTGCCCTATTCTACGAATCTGTTGAATTCTTATACTACGACTACACACTTATCTACACAGATGCATCTAAAAGTATTAACGGAACAGGTTTCGCAATAGTGGACGGCCAGCAAGCTAAAACTTTTCGACTTCCTTCATTCTCCAGTATCTTCACAGCGGAATCCTATGCGTTATATATGGCAGTCCAATTCGTCGTACAATCAGACTATAAGTATTCACTTATAATAAGCGACTCTCTCAGCGCCCTTATCTCACTACAAGACCATCATCCTCAAAATGAAGTAATCCAACTTACCAAAGACCTTATCTCCTCATCGAAAAACAAAATTAAGTTTATGTGGGTCCCATCCCACATAGGTATCCCCGGGAACGAAAAAGCCGACAAGATGGCGAATGAAGCAGTTACATCCACAACCTCTACCATCATAAATAAAATTCCGAGTAAAGACCTATTAAATGAAGCCCATAAACGGATTATAAAAACATGGCAAAATCACTGGGATTCAATTCCCTCCAGTAACAAACTCAGAAACATAAAAAAATCTATATCCAAATGGGCATATCCAGAGAACGCATCAAGGAGAGAACAAATAGTTATAAACAGATCCAGAATAGGCCATTCCCATATCACGCACTCATATCTGATAACCAAGGAAAACCCCCCCTTGTGTGACACATGTAAAACTCCCCTTACAATGGCACACATCATTATTGTCTGCCCCAAATTCTCAACCGCACGTTTCCTGCTCAACAATCCAAGGTCAATTGAAGAAGCCCTCAGTCAACAGAACTCCGACAACATTTTCAAATTTTTTAAAAAAATAGAACTTGACAAAAAACTGTAAATATTATAATGTACAAACTTTTTAATTTCAGGCTAATAATCTGTGTAATTGAAGCCTTTATGTTAATAAAAAAAAAAAAAAAAATTTTTATTATTTTCTTTAAATACTTTGTTTGTATTGTGTTTTCAAATAATAAAAAATTTTCAAAAAAAAAAAAAAAAAAAAAAAATATATAATATAGATACATATTAATGTATTTACCTACATCGCACAACCGCACTGCAGACATAATTATTATTATACTTCTGAAAATCTGAACACTATACGGGCTTACACTTTACAGTATATTGTTTGTCTTCATACGTAGGTACATTATACTTTATATTCTCATCTACACACCGACTTACAGACTTTGTTTGTCTTTGTATACTCGTCTACCAGCCAAACCTCGTGATAAACTATTGTGATATATTAGATGTTTGTATACTTACCGGAGATGATCAATATAATATTCAACTATTATAGTGAAATATTCACTCGAATTAAGTCTACGAATCGCTACCTACGTCTTAGATTTTTGAGAAACGCGAAAGCTATACATTTTTAATCTCCAGTTCGGGTATAAACATAAACCTATACTCATAGGCGCAATTTGGGCTAAATTTATGGGGGTGCTAGATTTATGTGGACCAAAGTAACCCGTGGGGGGCTTCGCCCCCCCACTCCCCTCATAACACCATTCATGCATTCATAATACTACCTGATTAATCAATAATTATTAATATTGAAAAATAAATATATAATACAGGTAAATACGTTTTTTATTTTCATTTGAATATTATAATAAAGATATATGCCTTTGAGACATAGCAAAATTATTTATTATTTCATTTAATAAATATCAAACTTACTTCTTGGTGTTTATCATTATCATTTTTTGACTTTTTTTCAAAATTGAAAATACAAAAAATATTTTTAGTATTTTCCAGAATAAAATTTAAAAACAATAACAACTTGAGTAGGTAATTAAAATAAAATAAAATATAATTTAAATTAAATTAAATATAGGAAGTTAATGAGGATAAACAATAAAACACGTTACATGTACGTCGCACAGTCGCACAGACTTAACGATTCGAAAAATACGAGTGAAATATTATTATTATTATATAAGTCAAATCTTAGAAATTAATTTATCCTGTTGTCTATGACATAATACGTGTATAACCAATAACAATTAAATGATGCTGTTGAAAATTTGGGGGTGCTAATATGAATTTTGGGGGTGCTAAGCCCCCCCAAGCACCCCCCAAATTGCGCCTATGCCTATACTCCTATA